TTTTTTTTTAAAAAAAAAAACTTGTTTATACCATTTTATAGATCACTCCCTTTTAGAACATTGGAAATGTTGAAATATACTGAATGCTATTTTAATTAAAGAATCCCTCTAGGCGGGAGGAATGGGGGGGGGGAGAACAAAGGAAGCCACCAGAAAAATACAGATAATCCTGATGCTTGTATTTTCCAATGAAACACTGTGTGAATAGCAATAGCAATAGCAGTTAGACTTATATACCGCTTCATAGGGCTTTCAGCCCTCTCTAAGCGGTTTACAGAGTCAGCATATTGCCCCCAACAACAATCCGGGATCTCATTTTACCCACCTCGGAAGGATGGAAGGCTGAGTCAACCTTGAGCCTAGTGGGATTTGAACAGCCGAACTGCAGAACTGCAGTCAGCTGAAGTAGCCTGCAGTGCTGCATTTAACCACTGCGCCACCTCGGCTCTTTTTAATAATAAACTAACAGAAGTGGATCACTGTGAATATGAGGAGAATTTATTTTTCTGGACACAGAGCCAAGAAATATGCCCATTTGTTTCATCCAGATTCTCAAAGACCAATGATTCATATATCTGTCCTGGGGTATGTTGCAAAACAAATAAATAAAAACTTTTAGCTCCTTCATACTTTCAGCAGCATGTTGTTCTTATGTAAATCAGGGGTCTGCCAACATGGCAACTTTATGACTTGGGGACCTCAACTCCCAAAATTCCCTAGACAGCATGGAAATCCTCAGACTTCCAACCTCTTTTGGGAATAGAAGTCCACAAGTTGTAAAGCTGACAAGGCTGGATACCTCTGATGTAAATGCATGGAAGAATTGTTAAATCAATTTTGAGATTTCCCTTTCTGGATGAATAATAATATATTTTGAGATCGATGGGTTTTTTTTTTTTAAATCACAGCTAAAATCATATTCAGATTTTCCTCTGAGAAGTTGAGGCTCTGATTAGATATTAGCAAAGTTGCTTTATGTTAATTTTAGGCAGGGCTTCTATGCTGTCTGACTCTAAAAAGGAATCTTCCTTCTATGCTTTGTTTTGAAAATGGAAGCAAAGGCAGTGCCAGAGGATGGTGTGTTTGCTGAAAATTGGAAATGTTAGAAGGGAAAAAAAACATATACTGAATTCCTGTTTTGCTTCAAAGGATTGTCTGTGGTCTTAATATATGAAATTGGTCTAGGCCAGAGGAAAGAATGAAGAGAAAGATAAAAGAATTTGGGAAAATAAAAGATACAGAAAACAGCTCAATACAACAGTTCAAGAATTCAAGGGAACAAATTCATGCCAAATTTCCATTAGCTTTTCAATTTCTATTTAGACCCTGCCTCATTCTCTTCTTTACTATCAAAAGTAAAGGTTCCCCTCCCACATATGTGCTAGTTGTTCCTGACTCTAGGGGGTGGTGTTCATCTCCGTTTCAAAACTGAAGAGCCAGTGCTGTCTGAAGACGTCTCCGTGGTCATGTGGCCAGGATGACTAAATGCCGAAGGCGCACGGAAACCTTCCCACCAAAGATGGCCCCTATTTTTCTACTTGGGAAGCTGAGTCAAGTAACAGGAGCTCACTCCATTACACAGTGCTAGGGATTCGAACTGCTGACCTTTCTGATTGACAAGCTCAGCGTCTTAGCCACTGAGCCACCACATCCCTACTTTACTATAGGCACTTCTTCCAACGTTCCTACTTCTTTACTATAGTGTGTGTGTGTGGGGGAGACGACGACACAACACAGCAAATATTCTTTTCTAAAGACATTTCCTGTGCCAAACATTGCAGAAACCCATGTCCAAATGGACTCTCTTCTATCTTACATGGCTTCTTGTCTTCCTCCTAATCTGTCTAGAATGAAAATGGCCTTATATGCATTGCCTTTTGATGCCCTTTTATTTTTGTGAGACGTGGACGGCACCTGAAGAGTTGGAAATAAACACACACACACACACACATATCACGCACAGTTATGAAATATGGGCCATGGCCATGGAGCATGCAGAAGCACTGGGATGGATGGCGAGTTACGTATGGCGTCAGATCAGTGCGTTGCAATTCGGATACATACCGGGATCGAACTGCGGGTTATGCTCATAAATCTAACGGCAATTAGTACAGGCTTCTGGATTAGAGAGGACAGGAAAAGGAAAGGAGCAGGTTAGAGAGCACACGCCATCAGCTGACTCTGGGAGTGGCTGAGCATGGCGGCGGAAGCTGGCCCTTTGCTGCAGCTGCTAGGAAGCGCAAAGGGACCGCAAGCCATTCTATACTGCAAGAGAGGTGGAGAAGCATTGGCCCGCGGCCACAGATGGAACTCCCCCAAGAGAGGGTTACCCAGTAGGCCTCACAGCCTCAAGTTGCTTTCAGCAATGCTTCCCTTGGCCTCCAAGCCAAAACCACCATGGATCCGGCCGGCCTGAGAGGAGGCAAACTGAAGCCGTCTCTGAGCAGAGCAACTGCTTTTCAAGTCAGCAGCCTAGCTAAGAAGCATGCAAATTGTTCTTCGTCTGATAAAAAAGTTCGTAAGCAGGGAAGAGGCAGTGATTAATTACAAAGAGCTCAGCAGGGGCCGGGAGGAGGGCAGCAGTACTGTCTCCCCAGAGTCTCCCCCTGGCACGTGCAGGTGAGAGAGGGGAGAATGGAAGCCTTGTCTTAAAGCAGATGCAAATAGTGTGAGAGTTAGGGGAACAGGGACTAATCATCATAGGAAAGCCAATTATGTACAAGCTGGAGGGGTTTGAGTTCACTAAAGGGTGTCTGGGAATTTAAAAGAACCTTCAAGAACCACGAGTTACCTGTATAAAGTAACAACAGAGTGATACCTGTAGCTTTGAAGAGCCAGATATTAGTGCTTAAACCAGAGGTCCCCAAACTTGGCAACGTTAAGACTTGAGGACTTACAACTCCCAGAATTCTCCAGCCAGCTTTGCTCTGCTGGCTGGAGAATTCTGGGAGCTGTAAGTCCACAAGTTTGGGGACTTCTGGCTTAAACCAAACGTTAACTTTTGCATTAGACTAAACCATATTATTAAAGAATTTGAAATGTGCAAGGAGTTAGAAAGATGGAAAGAAAAGGTTAGAGGGGGGAGAAAAGAGACAGAAAGAAAGACAGATATCGTTCAATTATTAATATCCACACCCAAGTAAGTTAACTCTCACACAGGGAATTCTCAGTTCCAGAATCTGGGCTGTTAAAACTAGTATGTATCAGGTGATCATAAGTGATCTTCGCCCCAATATTTCTCTGAACAAGGACACTTGTTTCAATTAATTGAAATAGAAAATGGGGAAGATCAGGTGATGGGGCATTGTCTCTACTTCTTTGGGACCTGGGACTAGGTCAGCCTGTCATGCAGCCAGTCAGTCAGTCCTGCCCCTTACCATGGACCTGCGGATCAAGGACAGCCGGCTCTTGGCTTTGTTCTCTGCAAACTCCAGGCTGCTGATATCCTTCAGACGGGCTCGGTATTTGTTCATCTGTTCTACAACAATCAACTCTATGCAACTGGAAAGAGAAAAATCGTCAAGTTAGGGCTTGAGGGCCAGAATCTAAGCGATTGCCGTATAAAATCTAGACACAGAGATCTTTCTTGCTGTGAATATTCTAATTGGAATTTTTTTTTGGGAGAATCAACCTATGCATGCAACTTCTTCTTCTGAATTTTTCATTTTTGTAAAATGTTCCTCTCCAAATTACGTGAGTGACATCAGTGGAGTTGAACCGGTCATGGCTGGTAGCAAGTCTTTTTCTTTTTTTTAAATTACCTGATGGTTTTGCTGACATCCTGAGCGCTCTGCAGAGGGTCAGTGGTGTCTGGACAACGGAGGATACAGGGAGCAAAGACAATGGCCAGAGCATTAGCCGACATTCGATTCGTTTCTTCTTGTAGAGCAATCCTAAACAGCATCAAAACAGGATGGGAATGAAACTTAACTGTAGGTGATCATAGCAACCCTCACTTGTTACGAGGTGGGACAAACCCATAGAGCGGAACATAAGAATTGACACAGAGGTCAAAGAAAAGAGACAGGGTGAGCATCAACAGGCAGAGTGAGACAATGGCCGATGCTGGGGAGAAGCAACAATGAGTTTTAACTGTTCCTTCTGTCCCTCCCAGCCGTTCTTTTCTCTTGGACGATAGATCTCTGTGTGGCCTACTTTCTGCCCCATATTTCTAAAATTAGAAACCAAACCACAGTGCCAGTCGCTAGCGTAATGTTTCTCAACCTTGGAAGATGTGTAGATTTTCACTCCTAGAATTCCCCGACCACTATTATTTATCTATCTTTTTTACTACCCAGTCATATCAACTCACTAAAAGAGAACTGCGGTGGCCCACGTGAAATTAACATGGCAACGTAACAAACTGAAAGAGCTATCTGCCCTCCAACTTGATCATAGGGTTAAAAAGGCCTTTTGCTTCGATGTGTGGGCCTTGAGAAAAGCTTTTTTGTCACCCAGAATAACATGTAGAGATGGCTTTCCTGGGGGGGATTATATATTAAGCATGCTTGAAAGCCAGATGAAGATAGGCCTGCCTTGGCACACAACTCTGAAAACAGAACTGCCTCTCAAGATTGCAGGTCTCACCAAAAGTTGAACGTGGGAATATACCTGCAGATAAAGCCAACATTCACAAGGAAATCTCTTTATAACCTTATCTTGGCGATTGATACCTGACAAGGTGAAAGATCAGACGTTCCAAGGTATTAAGGTGAGTTCGGGAAAGTTGATCAATGACTGAGTAAACACCACGGATGGCCTCTTTCCTCTCTTGCAAACCTGCAGAAAACAAATTTCACTCATGAATCAAAGGCGAATTATACATACGTGTCCCAGGATAATATCGCAAGAGCCAATCTGGGTCGGTCGCTGAGATCAGAGGTTTGAACTTCCGCTCCCAGGGACTGATGCAGATTGGATCCTCCAACAATTTCATTCAATTTGTCAGGACTGTGGCCTACTCTGTCTCAGGAATTGAGTATGTTTACAGCAAGCAAAGATTGTAAAATATGATATACACATCTAAACACACATATCTTGCAAGTCCGCTACTGCTCAGGATTTAAGGAATACTCCAGATAGGGAGCCTCTGAGGAGGCAGATTCTGAAAATACCTTTGGAATTCAAGTGGTGTTCTTAAAGGAGAATGCACTGGGAAATCCTACTGCAACTCAAGGCAGAAGATGATTTCCATATAACTGAAGGGTTTGAAATATTTAGGTGAAAAATGAGGATATAATGTCTGAAATGCAGAGAAAGAAGGCGGAGTACAGAAGTGGAATTATTGATTTAGTTTGGGGTCTCATCAAGGAGATACATTGCATTGCAGCGGGATGCCTCAGTACACCATCCAAAGCAGATCCCTAGAAAAAACATCATTACGGTTTTAGGTTTCAGCATGATAAAGAATTTTCACAGGTATTTTGTGTAGAAATATTTTCCGGGATAAGGAAAAGCAAGCTGAAGAAATATTGAAGTAGTGGAGAACATGATTTTCTAAGTAGAAACAGACTTGTTTTTTTTTCTCTCTTAGCTTCCCTTGTAATGTTTCCTGAAGTCCTATTTCATTCTAGGTCTGACAGCAACTCCTTCTTACCCATGGCTCGCAAAAATTCTTCATAGAGTTCAAATGTCATGAGAGGGTTAGGCAAATCCCTCAGCCATTGCTTGAACACACTGGCAATGACATGGATGCTGTAGTCATCGAGATTCACTCGTTCGATATCTGGTCAGCGGAAAGAATGAAAGCAAGAAAATTAAAAGCAAAGGAGGAGTAGCAAAAGGAGACTTCACCATTTACTCTGATACGGTGCCAACGTGAGAATTAAATTATGGCCAAAGTATGGCTCGTGTTGTGAGGATGCTGGCTTGACAAGCAGCAGTCCTGCATTTGAGATCTGAGTGCTGCCACAGTGTGAGGTGAGCTCCTGTCCTTTGCTCCTGCCAGGGACCTAAAAAGTAGCCCCTAACTGAGTGTACCCAGGGCAATGGTGGCTAATCCTTTCAACCCGGAAGCCCCTTGGTGCCTCCAACACAAGTCTGATGTGATGCAATGGCCTAGATTCCTTAAGGTAAAAGGTTCCCCTCGTACATATGTGCTAGTCGTTCCTGACTCTAGGGGGAGGTGCTCATCTCTGTGTCAAAGCTGAAGAGCCAGCGCTGTCCGTGGTCATGTGGCTGGCATGACTAAATGCCAAAGGCGCAAGGAACGCTGTTCCCTTCCCACCAAAGGTGGTTCCTATTTTTCTACTTGCATTTTATTATGCTTTCGAACTGTTAGGTTGGCAGAAGCTGGGACAAGTCACGGGAGCTCTCTCCGTTATGCGGCACTAGGCATTCAAACCGCCGACCTTCCTGATGGAGAAGCTCAGTGTCTTAGCCACTGAGCCACCACATCCCTAGGTTCCTTAACCAGTAGTATAACTGACTGCAAAGAACAAACAGAGTCAAAATTTCTGAACTTAAGATATAGGTTTATCCTAGCTTTGATACCTAAGGAAGGAGTAGAACTCATAGCTTCCCAGGTCCTACCTAGTTCATCATTTTAATACTGCAACAAACATATTCTCAAACATAAATCAAACATGTACCACAGGTACATATCAGCTTTAGCCTAACATAGAATTAACTAGAGGTACTGTATGAGTTCTGCTTCAGCACTGTCTAAATCAAATTGAATACTGTTGATCACCAAAATATTACATTTTCTGGCCATCATCTGCCCTAAAGTTTTAGCATCTCTAAAATAAACACAGACACCGGGGGGTGGGGGGACCCCTCACAATAATACAAGTTTCCCTTCTCGAAGCGTCCTCACCTGTGTCAAGGCCCTGCCGTAACTCTTTGATCTTATTTGTTGATCCAGATTTCCGGTAAATGCCCTCCGTATACAAAGCATGCATTTCTATGTAGCTGGTGAGCTTCTCAAACACTATTGGCACAATCCGTTCTTCGCTGGTCAGGCGAGAGAGTTCGACTCCAAACTGGCGTGAAGAAAGCTCTGGGTCATACTGTTAAGGACAGGGATAATGCAATCAGCGTTACAAGCGCATCACAGCCACACTGTGCAAATTCCCACGGTATCCGGCTGGCTCTAAAGCTGCTAAAATGCCGGGACCAGAACAGTCCTGCTTTAAGATTACAAGCTATGCGAAACATAAAAGCAAATATTTAGAGTAATGGAAACATCTCAACATGCTTCACCTTTCCCCAAATCCTTTCTGTCTTTTGCACGGGATTAGCATTTTAGTCATAGTCTCAATTCAGAGCAGCGGAGGGGCAGGCAAAGGGGGGCAGCAGAAAACAAGCCTTTAACGCCACTGTCTCCCCCAGAGTTTTCTGACTCCCTTGTTTTCTGCTTTTACAGAATGTGTCGCAGTAGAAATATGAACGAAGAGTCAGCAGCTAGACAAGGTGTTTCTCAACCTTGACAATTTTTAAGATGTGTGGACTTCAGCTCCCAGAATTCCCCCGTTATGTGTGGCATACGGAAATGAGAAAAAAACAGGGTACCTTTTTGGAGCATTTTGTCGTGGTCTTCTGGCAGCACTTTCGGTGGCAAGCGTATTTGCACACTGGAATTAAGAAAAATGCATTTAGTGCTGCACATAACGAAATGCAGTGAAATTTTGTTGCGTTATAACTTTGCAAGAGCTGACAAGGAGACTCTGAACTGGATTTTTTTTAATTGAAAGTTTTAAAGAGTTTTACAAATATATACCTT